AGGGTTTTTTGGACAGGGCTTGACAGTTATAATGGACAGAAAATGAAAGACCTTTCTCAAAACATGGGAAATGGGACCTTTCTCAAAACGAAAGGACGAATAGTGTCTTTTGACCTCTACTCAAAGAGCACTTCAAGAAAAGAGATCTTCAACAGATCACCTCCAGCTGCAGTATGGCTGTTCAGGCAAGTCAATTAAAATCACATCACAGCCAGACACTGTGTAATCCCAGCACTTGGGAGGCCAAGGCAGGAGGACTGCTTGAGCCCAAGAGTTCAAGATCAGCCTGGGCAAGATGAAGACCCCCATCTCTACAAATAATTTAAAAATTATCAAAGCACAGTGGCGGTGTGCCTGTAGTCCCAGCTACTCAGGAGGCTGAAGCAAGAGGATCACTCGAGCCCAGGAATTCAAGGCGGCAGTGAACTATGATTGCACCACTGTGCTCCAACCTGGGTGACAGAGTAAGACTTCTTCTCTGGATAAATAAATAAAAGCATACTTCACCCTACAGCTTATAACACATTTGCATCTGTACTAATTCATTTGATCACCCCAATATCCCTGGGAGGTAGGGCTTCTTATTTATCCCTATTTTATAGGTAAGGAAACTGAGGCTTAGGGGAGGAAATGACTTACCCAAAGTTCATAGCTAGCCAGGGATACAGTAACAATTTGCACTGGGATCCTTGGATTCCCAGGCCTTTCTGCTATACCACCTCTGCTTTTTGTGGAGATTATAAGGCAAGAGAAAGAGCACTTCTAGCTCTGCAGGAAACATGCTATGTAACCCAGACAGATCTCTTGCCCTTTCTGGGCCTCACCACTATCCCTCTGGTGTGGTTGTTTGGATGACATCATGATCTTAAAAGTATCCAACACAGTCCCTGACATGTCACAGTGGCCAAGATGATCACAAGGGGAAGAGAATAGTGAAAATGATGGTGCTTATATACAAAGGGCATGGCAACGTCATAGATGGAGGGGCCAACTTCGCCAGTGAGAGGGCTTCCTGGGGCGAGGACATTGAACAGACTTGATGAATGGAGAACGTCCACCTCCCTTCCCTTATTTAAGGGTGACTAGGGGACTACAGCTTGGGATGTGTAAGAGGGGTGGCCAGAACTGATGCTGGAGAGTTAAGGTGAGGTGGGGGCATATCACATAGGCCTGGAATGCCATGCCAACCAAATTAACTGTTGCCATTGAAAGGCTTTAAGCAGGCAAGTGTCATGACCCATTTTGCAGATTAGCAGTTTAGAAAGGGCACTCTTGTTAGAATGTGGGAAGCAGGCAGAAGAAGAAAGTCTAGAGGCACAGAGATTCTCAACTGAAGGCACAGTGGGGTAAAGTTCATGGAGATCCCCCAGCTGAAGCCCAGAGGGCCACCTCCTCCTAAGGGGAGATCAAGGGAAATGATGAATGTGGAAGTATTCAGAAACTGCTGCCAGCTATCAGCCAAAGTGTGAAGGGTTGTTGATCACTTTTATGTTAAATGTAAGGGCTGGAACCTCCAGCCGGCTGGCTAGATCCTGCACACACAGTGCAGTGGGAGTTAGCATCCCTGAGTTCCTGGGAAATTGAGTCCTTTCATCTCCAGGTCTCAGATGCTGAATTTGAGACTCACTAAACAATTCCACATGGAGCGGAGGATGGAAATCCTTCATTTAGAGCAAGGTGGAGATGCCATTCCTTCAAAAGAATATCCCTATGGGAGGGGTGGAAGCAGCAAGAATACAAGCTAGACAAGCCAGAGAGTCCGGAGGTCATTCCCGGGCACCCTCCCCTCCCAAGCCTGCTGGGCTTTCTAACTTCTACCCCAATTCCTGATGGAAGACCTTTAGCAGCCACACAAAGAAGCTTCCTGTGAGCCAGAATAATGCTTCACCTAAATTACCTTGTTTATTCCTCACAACACCCTCTTCTACAGTTGCAGAAACTGAGTCTCAGAGAGGTCAGGTAACTTGCCTAAAGTTACCCAGAGCTGGTAAGTGGCAGGGCTGGAACCTGAATCCTGTCCAAGCTTGGCACGCACTGGATGCTGATTGCAGGTCTCTCTTCCAGCAAGGCGGAGGGGGGTGGGGCGGGGAGACTTTAGAGAGGGGAGGGAATGGGAGGGTGGGAAATAGGAGGAGTCTGGCCCCTCCCTATAGGCCCCAGAGTGTGCGGAGTGGAGTCCCTGCAGCCCTTTTAAGCCCAACAGTGAGAAAGACACTGGATACCAAATGGCACATGATGCTATCCCAAAGACTCACGAGGAGTCTGAGCTGGATGATCACAGCAGGCCTCCTAGTTGTAGAAGCTGGGATTCTAATCAGGAGAGGACGATGAATGGAGAGGAGAGAGGGGAGCTCTCCCTGCCTCCACACAGTTGAGACCGGACTCCCAGCCTTTTCTCTGCACCTCCCTAACCGGCAGGGTCCACAGGTCTCAGCCCAAGGGCATTTCCAAGACCATAAAATGGCTCTGAGTGCAGGGAGGACCTGTAAGACCAGTTTGTTTTCTGGGCAGCAGATTTGATTTTGCTGCCCTGAGGCCTGGGGTAGTGGCCTATACTCCTACCTCACCATTTCCCTAGTGTTTTCCTTCTTCCTAAGGTACACAAGTGTGCATGCACACACAGACCCAAGCAACTCCTTTTTTTCTATGAATAAGAAAAAGTAATAAGGAAAGAAAAAACAAACAGACGGGGTGTGTTGACAAGTCTGGGCCACTGCAGGGGGGGACATTGCCCAATCTCTGCACCCTGGGGCCCTCTCCAAAGTCTGGGAGAAGCTCCAGGGAGGTCCAGGGCCCAAGACCAAAGCCTCTATCAACTCCCCCACCTGTGAACTGCCCCTCGCAAGGTAGGCATTGTCTGGGTGTGTAGACTGGAAGCCACACACACACCCAACTTTCCCCTACTAGGGAATGCATCCACCAAGTCATTTCTCCTGCAAACCCTCATTTTAAAGTGTCTTGGATGCTTTTCTGCCCTTTTTAGCATAAAGAGGGGTTAGAACCGAGGAGCTGCAATAGGAGGAATAGACTGAATCTGCTGCCTACTCACTTGCCAGTTTCCCTTCTTAGAACTCTAACCAGAAGTCAATGGTTCGCTCCATAAAAGAAAAACTCAGATCTGTTGACTTTCTCTCTCCTCTCCTGCCAGCTTTTCTGCCCGATCCGGGCTCTCTCTTCTCTGTGGGTTCGTCTTTCACCAAGTCTTTCTCTGCTTCAGATTCTTGGTTTCTGGCTCACTGTCGTCCCTGAACCTCTTTCATTCTTTAAAAAAAAAAAATGGGGAGGGGCAGTGAACAAGCAAAGAGGAAGCCCTCACCCACCCACCCACCCAATCTCTTTCTTACTAGCAACTAATTCCCTCTTTTTCTCCACACACACGTACACGCGCGCACACACACAGGCACGTACTCCGGCGACCTCCAGATGTTCCCAACCGTGCGGCCATCTGCTTAGATTGCTGGGGCGCGCAGGGGGGAGGGGGCAAGGATCCGGGATGCAGGAAGCTGCGAGCAAAGCCGACTGGAGGGGGCGGGAGCTACGTACTTTTGAGACGCTCCCTAGGGTGGAACCCCGGCTCGGCGCGGACTCCGCGGGCGGGGCGCGCTCCGAGAAAGGCTGGCACTTTGGCGACATTCCCTGAGCCGCCCCGGGGCCGGACCGAGCCGCCACCCGGCGCCCGGCAGGGGGGAGCCCGGCTGCAGGCGGGGACCAGGGGGCGGGCCGCGCCAAGCGGAGAAAAGCGCTGGCCTGAGGGCCCGCGGCCGGGCCGCCAGGGTGAGCGTGCCGAGGCGGTGGCGGCGCCGGCTTCCAGGTGGGTGCGGGTTCCCCGGCGGGGAGGGAGTCCGCGCTGTGGGCGAAGGTCCCGAGCCTCGGACCCCGTCCTCGTCGCCCCTTTAGCGGGCGCGGGCGCCGGGCGCAGGGGCGGGGCTGGGTCCCGCCGAGGCCCCTCAACTTTCGCCGGACGCCTGGGGCTGGGCGGGAGCGGTGAACGCCGACCCAGGGGAGAGGGCGTTCGGGAGACAAAGGCTCCGCTCCTGGGCGGTGGGCGCGTGGGCCGGCGCCTTTGGGGTCTTTGTGCGGACACGTGCATCTCACATTTGTGGGTCTTTGTGGATTTGCGGTCGGGGACGTGCCGCTGCCGGTGCCTTTGTGTGTCCGTGGCTTTGAGTGGCTGCTTGGCGCCCGTGTCCACGTTTGCGGGCCTGCGTTTGGCTGAGGGTGTCAGTGGGCGCATCCCGTGTGTCCGCGTACGTGGTCGGTGCCTGCCGACGTGTCTGGGCTGAGTGTCCGCGGAGGGTGTGCGAGCCGAGAGCCTGACGCCGCCCCACCTCCCCGCTCCCCCGCTGTCCACCCGAGCCCCTGACTTGGCTCCAAACTTTTCTCCCGGTTCCTCGGGCAGCAGCCCCCGTCCTCCCTACCGCAGCTCGGCCGGGGGCGCAGGCAGGCCTCCCCTCCCCCTCCCCCTCTCCCTCTCCCTCTAGAGGTCCCACGACCGCGAGGGGCTGCGATGGGATTGGTGGTCCAGGGATCGGCAGCGCCTGGGGACTGGCCGGGCGGGGCCGGGGCTGGGCGGAGAGTGCGGACTCCCCTGCAGACCCCCGCGGGGAGGAGGAGGTGAGCGGTGGGTCTCGGGCTCCGGCTCGGGTTGAAGAGAGAAAGGGACTGGGCGGCTGGCGTTGCCCTCCCTGCACTTCTTGGAAAGAGTGTGACCCAGAGAGATATGTCTGTTAGTTGGGGAGACCGGCCCCGCTTTGAGACCCGCTCTCCGTTTGCAGCCCACCCCCAGAGTAGGGGGACCAGCCCTCTGACGCGGTAGGTGAGAGGGCGACCGCCAGTCCAGATCCGGGCATGCACGTGGCTTCGGCTCGCAGGACCTGGAGCTGGGGGCAGTGGGAGCCTTGCACACTTAGGTTTCAACTGGGACGGCCACTAGCCCACTGTGCGGCGCTGGCAAGTTGCTCATCTTCGCAACGTCGCGGTCACTCTGGTACGGACAGGGCGAGAACTCCCTCGCGGCTCGGGGTGTGCGATGGGAATAACCAACGCTGCTGGAGCCGGGCGGAGAGCAGCACCCCCGCCCACACTTGGGCCAGCGAGGAGGTGACTCAGGACCTTCGATCCTTTTTTCATCCTTGGGCGCTCTGCCCTTCGGATAAGTCTAGACTTGCAGCGCAGGACTGACGGGAGAGGAGGGGCGGAGAGCGTCAGGAGCCTACTGAACTTTTGAGCCTAAGTTGCAGAGATAACCCTAAACACCCTTTTCCCCACCGCTCACTCCAGTCTTTAACCTAGAACTTTGTCGGATGCTGCAGACATGATGGGAGGGCAGTCCGCTCACCTGGGAAAGCGAAACCTTGGGCATTTTCCTTTCCCTCTCTGGCCTCAGTTTCCCTTCTGGTAGGGGAGGTATTAATAGCCTCTCCTGTTCTGCTGACTGCTTCAGATCCCAGAACCTAGAAACACTTTGATGTTTAACCTACACCCCCATTCTGACCTGACCTATTCCGAGGCACTACTTTGCTTCCCAGGAAGGCTGCAAGGGCCATCAGCCACCAGCCTTCCACCTACCCTTCCTTCAACATCAGGTTGAAAGACAAAAGCTAATACATGAGTCAAAAATGGAGTGAAGGGAGGGAGGTTGACCTTTTCTCCTCTTACTTTTTAAATGACAGTTTGTGGATGGTAGAGTCCAAATTAGATTTCTTCTTAATCATAACTCCTGGGTCAACACAGGTGATGCACTTAAGACTTCTTGCATCCTTTTGAAGAGCAAAGCTGGCATGGGCACTAAGGATAATTCCTAAAGAGGGCTGGGTCCTCCCTGAAAGTCCCCTGGCGGAAACAAGCCCTAAGAGAGGTTCTGTGGGAATAACCCCGGAGGGAGGGGCCTGACCGGAGGTTACTCCTGCTCATGGTTTTGAAGTCAGTGGTACACAGGGGAGGCAGGAAGTGTCTCCCACAAGAGGAGCAGCATGTGCAGGACCTATGCATGAAAACAACACAGGTGGTCAGCATGGTGGACTGTCAGATGCAAGGTCTTGAGGGTGGTGAATTGGAATTGAACTTGAGGCTGGGAAGGAAGGCAGAGGCCAAATCACCAACGCCTTGAATGCCAAGCTGAGAAGCTATATTTGAGCCTGTAGGCCATGGAGAGCTCCTGGAGGGTTTAAACCCAGCAGGGTGGGGTTGGTAATTTATGAAACCCTTCTCTGGCTTGTGGGTGGTGCTGGAGGCTGGGAGACCAATCTGAAGGCCCAGTGCTCCAGCCTCTTAGAGTCAAAAGGACCTGGATTTTACTCTCACTCTGTTGCTTCCTACCTCTGTGGCCTGGGACAAATAACTTCCTTAAAATGTGAGGATACTAATTCCTGCTTCACTGATCTGGTGCATTAAATAAGATAATGAATTACATGTGCAAATAAATGAAAAGTGGTTTGTAGTGTGTATTACATTGTGCTGACATTTGTTGGATTGCACGGACAATAGAAGGCAGGGACAGCTTTGACTCTGGTCCTGAACCTGATTTCACCAGTGGTCAGAGCCCTAAGCATCCTGCAAGGTTGCACCAATTATGTTTCCCACAAAGCAGGAGGATGCTTTCTGTCCATGACATTTCATTCATCTGACTTCTCCCGTTCATGTGGCCAGGCCTCATGCAGGCAAAGAGGTAGACACAGATATATAGATGGCCACAGAAGTGCCCCTTGACAGGGGCAGCCCAAGGGCCATGGGAGCTCACAGTGTGGGTAGCCTTTCCTAGATGAGGGGCAGATTGGACTGGGAAAACTTCACAGAGGATGGCTTTTTTAATCAAACATACGAGAGTTTGCTGGTAGACAGAAGGGTATCTTTGTTTTCATCAGAGGGAACAGCCTGTGCAAAAAGGCAGGTGGCACTAGAAGAGTCAGTCCTCTGGACTGGAAAGCTGTCTTCTGTGAGATGGGTTTAAAGAGGGAGCTGTGGTAGGGTCCCAGTCTTCTGTTGAGAAGTGCCTTCTGGTACCCAGCATGGCTGGCAGTTGGAAGCAGGGCCAGGAGTGAGGCTGTTGCAGCAGGCCTCCCGAGCCCGACCTGGACAGGTGGAGGACTGCCCAGCTTAGGGATGAGGGAGAGGGAAGACAGTGACCCCACCTGCCCAGGGGGAGCTACAGATTTGATGCTCAGCCCTCGTTCTGTCACAGGTAACTCAACAGCTTCTGCCTGCTCTGGCCTCTGTGATTTTTCCAGCTAACCCTTCCCAGTCTCTTGGGAGTGGCTGGTCAGCACCTTGTAGCCACACTGGGACCCTGGATGGTGCGGGAGAGAGGATCCAAGACCTCTGGGATGAACTGTGGAATCCTCTCCATCTTCAGCCCCTGCCTTGCCTCAGAATTTGCGGGTATCACAGCTCCTTTTTTTACCCCCTGGTCCCTGAAATCACCCACCGGGGACAGGAAGCAACATTCAGTGAATACCAGTGTGTGCCAGGCTGGGTCTGGGTCTTGATTTTGCCTCATGTAATCATTACTGCGACCCATTGGGACCAGCACTAGGATTATCTCCATGTTACAAATGAGGACTTAGAGGGGCGAGGGCACAGGCAAGCCTGAGCAGTGAAGGCCCTGTAGGGTTGGAACCCAGACTGCCTAGCTACAAAACTCCTGTCCTCTGCCCCATAGCGCCTCCTCCTGTGTCCATGTACGCTGCCTCAGATTGATGAGAACTTGAAAATCTTCAGGAAGAAGACATTGGAAGGAGAAAATCGTATTGGGAACCTTGCCCATCTCCCTGTAGATTATTCTCCTGGGGTAAGTTGCTAGGCTTACAGATCCCTGGGATCATGTCATGGAGGAGGCCAGGTACTGAATGTCAGAATACCTGGGTCCTGGGTCCAGCCCCAGTCCTCTCTGGCTATGCGACTCTGGACGGATCACAGAACCTCTCAGGGCTTCTTGACACAGCTCTGGGCTTACAAACCTCTCTGGGCTTCTTTACACGGCTGTGAAGTAGATATGATGCCATCTAACCTGCTGATCCTGCAGGGTGACTAAACAGATGGTAGTTGAGGAAGCAAGGGAGAGAGTGAGAGGTGTCCTTTGGTGGGGTGGCAGTATTCTAGGTGCCTGGTGCATCTTTACAAGGTGTCTGCTCTGTACCAGGCTCAGTGCTCAGCTCCAAGGGCATAAAATGGTACCTAATCCCATCCCTGCCCACAGTAGTTCAGACAAGTAAACATGTACATACAGTCCAGCATGACCAGGTCTAAGCTGTCTTGCACATGTACTCATTTGTAAGTTAAGGCAGAGTGGATTTGGAGCTAAGTCATCTGGGGTTGAGTCCTGGGTCCTCTCCTTCCCAGCTGAATAACATCCATTTCCTGGTCTGCAAAGTAGGGATGTAATCCCCAGAGTCAAGGCCGTGGTGAGGCAGAAGTGAGATGCTGGTGGAGAGCACATGGTAGGCTGCTGTGTTTGTCCAGATGTGCTGCATTAGTGGGTCTGTTGCAAGAGCTGGCCCTTGGGGCTCCAGGAGTTTGGCTTTGAAATTCTTTCTGCCTTGCGTTTCCAGAGCTGACAAAGTGGTTGGAGGGCAGGACGTTTCTGAACCGTCCACCTGGGGATTTCCTTGGCATCAGCCTGAGTGAGCTCATGACTGAGGGGAGTGGAGTGAGAGGCAGTGTGGCATTGAGGAACAGCTGGTCGAGACAAAGGCCGGTCTCAGGTGGGTTCTGGGGCCCTGAGCCAACAGCACCCTGTGGAAGTTGTCGAGGGTGGCAGAGGGAGCTGGAAGATGTTACAGACCAGAGATGCCGTAGTGCAGCACCAGGGGCAGGCAGCCGGGGCCAGGTGGGTTCAAACTTGAACCCAACACCCAGAACACTCTCCTTGGAGAAGAGAGTTCAAAGCTTTACCAGCAGACACCAGGGAAGTGCCTAGAGAATGTTAGCACAGGCAGTCTTGGACCTGCTGCGCTCCTGGCGCTGCACTGGAAACTTGAGTGGGGAGGAACATGAAGAATCACATGACGACTGCCTTCAGAAAGCTTAGCAAATCACTGTCACTGTCTGCCATACGTTGAGTACTAGTATGGCAGATAGTGAGTGGAATCCTTGCCATTCTGTCCTTTATTCCTTTCAACAGCCCTGTGTTCTTAGCCCTGTTGAGGACCCTCGGAGCAGGTCACAGACTTACCCTAGTAGGTACAGAGTTAGGTTCACACCTGGTCTGGGTCTTGCAGTTGACCCGTTCATCCTGCTCTTCCTCCACACACCCTCGAGGCCTGGCCGTGATCCCAGGTCAGGGAAAGAACACACAGGTGAAGTAGGCAGGGCACTGCCCCAAGCTGCCCGCATATCAAGTAGGAAAACAGCAGGTAACTCACGGCAGAGAATTTACTGAAGGAGGCCTGTGGCTAGCCTGTGGGGTGAGAGGCCAGGAGCAAGGGTGGCCCAGGGCCCAAGTGGACAAAACAGGCTTTGTTCTGCTGGGAGCAGGCCAGGGGTAGGCGGGATGGATGCATGCAGTTCTGGCAGTCATGTGAGGCATCAGGTCCCAGGTCCTGGGCCCTGCTCTGTCATTCCTTGCTATCACTGCCATTCCTTGCTGTCACTGCCCCTATCTGGGCCCTAGTTGCCCATGATTCCTAAAGGGCCTTCTAGCTCCCAGGCCCTGGAATTCTCCAAGTTTGGAGATTTGTTAGCAGAGCCTGAGAGTTGTTCAGAGTCCATTAAGGTGAAGGCTGTTCCCATTCTGGCTATCAAGGAGACTTTCAAATCTAGATGGGGGGCTGGGGACAGCAAGGAATGGCAGTAGGAAGGGGAAAAGAAGGTGGTGACAGCTTGAAGGTGCCTCGTGCATGGGAGAACTTGATTTCTGTGGGTAAAAAGCAGAACCCAAGAGGTTTCTGATGAGGGGAGTGATGTGGCCAAAGCTGTGTGAGAGGTGACTCATAGCAGTGTGTATGGTGTCACCTGGGGAGACCTGCCTGAGGCCATACCATTTACTCTTTGTCCTTGCAGGCCATCAGCAAACCTAGAGTCACTGTGGACCTGGCCCTGTGGGCCCAACAATGCATGATTCATGGTCCCTGCACTGGAAGGCCTTATAGTATATCCCCCAAATCACATGGATGCAGTTTCTAAGCCCTTGTTTTCCTGTTCTTGTGTTATATAACCTGGTCAATCAGTGGATATCTTTTATCTTCAGGTCAGGGTTTGGAAAAAAGTGTTGAATCTTGGCCCAAAGATCCCTTTCTCCTTCAGCCTTCTTTGGTGGCTACCTGTCTTCGTTTCTCTTTCTCCTTGGGGTAGTTACAGTACGGGTCCCAGAGGGAGCCAGTGTGAATACTGTTACACAGATCAGATAACCAAGGCTCAAAGAAATAGAGAAAACAGGGAAAGTCGCACAGATAGTGGCAGCCCTGGGACTAGAGCCCCAGTCTCCTGGGTCCAAAGCTGGTGTTAGTCATCTTGTTTTAAGTTGGCCTTCTGTTCTCATTGCTGATCTGTAAGCCCTATGAGGACAGGGACCCTATTATCTATCCCAACCCCACACACACTCCCTTCTGGCCTAGCCTAGTGCTTTGAATATACTTAGTAGAAATTTAGTCCATGCTTTTGTTAAACTTTAAAATCCTGCAACTCTGGACTTGGATTATCTAAACTGAACCTCTTATTGTGAAGCTGGAGAAACTGAGGTACAGAAAGGGGAAGAGACTTGTCCAGAGATGAGATGAGGACAGTCCATGGCAGAGCAGGCACTGAAACCTAGGGCTCCTGACAGTCCTACAGGACTTCTCTCATCACCATGCACAGTTGCCCTGTCACCTCCCTGTCAGTGCTCCAGAGTGTAGGGAGGGAGGTAGTGCACCTCCCTGTCAGTGCTCCAGAGTGTAGGGAGGGAGGTAGTGGGTGACTGTTGGGGGCGGGGGGCTTCGTCTACCATTGGCTGCACATCTGTTAGTGTCCTGGAGCTGTGCTAGGCATTTCACACTAGTGATCTCTAGCTCTTGCTGCAACTGCTTGAGGAAGGGATTGTTAACTCCATGTTAACTCCCCATGACATCTGATGTGAATTGGCTGTGCCCCCACCCAAATCTCAACTTGAATTGTATCTCCCAGAATTCCCATGTGTTGTGGGAGGGACCCAGTGGGAGGTAATTGAATGGAGGAAGCTTTTGCTTCCTCCTCATTCTCTCCTGCCATGACCATTTAAGAAGTACCTTTTGCCCTCCACCATGATTGTGAGATCTTCTCCAACCACATAGAACTGTTAAGTCCAATTAAATCTTTCTATTATCTATTGCCCAGTCTCAGGTATGTTTTTATCAGTAGCATGAAAATGGACTAATACAGTAAATTGGTACCAGTAGATTGGGGCATTTCTGAAAAGATACCTGAAAATCTGGAAGCGACTTTGGAACTGGGTAACAGGCAGAGGTTGAAACCGTTTGGAGGGCTCAGAAGAAGATAGGAAAATGTGGGAAAGTTTGGAACTTCCTAGAGACTTGTCAAATGGCTTTGCCCAAAATGCTGACAGCAATGTGGACAATAAAGTCCGGGCTGAGGTGGTCTCAGATGGAAATGCGGAACTTGTTGGGGACTGGAACAAAGGTGACTCTTGTTATGTTTTACCAAAGAGACTGTCAGCAATTTGCCTCTGCCCTAGAGATTTATGGAACTTTGAACTTGAGAGAGATGATTTAGGGTATCTGGTGGAAGAAATTTCTAAGTAGCAAAGCATTCAAGATGTGACCTGGGTGCTGTTAAAAGCATTCTGTTTTATAAGGGAAGCAGAGCATAAAAGTTTGGAAAATATGCAGCTTGACTATGCATTAGAGAAGAAAGTCAAGTTTTCTGAGGAGACATTTAAGTCAGCTGCAGGAATTTGCATAAGTCACAAGGAGCTGAGTGTTAATTCCCAAGACAATGGGGAAAATGTCTCCAGGGCATGTCGGAGTTCTTCAGGGCAGCCTTTCTCATCACAGGCCTGGAGGCGTAGGAGGAAAAAATGGTTTCACGGGCCTGGCCCAGGGTCTCAATGCTGCGTGCAGCCTAGGGACTTGGTGTCCTGCATCCGAGATGTTCCAGCCATGACTAAAAGGGACCAAGGTACAGCTCAGGCCATAGCTTCAGAGAGTGCAAGCCCCAAGCCTTGGCAGGTTCTAGAATCATCATTCACTGGCCCTGGGCAGGTGACCCAGTCTCTGAGCATCCACAGAAGGGGATAATTGTTCATTTTACAAAATCCAAAGTGTAGCTTTTGTTCATTTTACCAAACCCAAACCAAAGCTCAGTACCACTTGGCAGTTTTCATGTCGTGTTGAGCCTGTGGGTGCACAGAAGTCAAGAATCGAGGTTTAGGAACCTCTGCCTAGATTTCAGCAGATGTATGGAAATGCCTGGATGCCCAGGCAAAAGTTTGCTGCAGGGGTGGGGCCCTCATGGAGAACCTCTGCTAGGGCACTGCAGAAGGGCTATGTGGGGTCAGAGTCCCTATTGGGGCACTGCCTAGTGGAGCTATGAGAAGAGGAAAACCATCATCCAGACCCCAGAATGGCAGATACACCAACAGCTCACACCCTGTGCCTGGAAAAGCTGCAGACACTCAACACCAGCCCGTGAAAGCAGCCAGGAGGGAGGCTGTACCCTGCAAAGCCAAGAGGGCAGAGCTGCCCAAGACCATGGGAACCCACCTCTTGCATCAGCGTGACCCAGATGTAAGACATGGAGTCAAAGGAGATCATTTTAGAACTTTAAGATTGGACTGCCCTGCTGGGTTTTGGACTTATTGGGGACCGTAGCCCCTTTGTTTTGGCTAATTTCTTCCATTTGGAACACCTGTATTTACCCAATGCCTGTACCCCCATTGTATCTAGGAAGTAACTAACTTGCTTTTGATTTTACAGGCTCATAGGCAGAAGGGCCTTGTCTCAGATGAGATATTGGACTGTGGGCTTTGGGTTAATGCTGAAATGAGTTAAGACTTTGGGGGACTGATGGGAAGGCATGATTGGTTTTGAAATGTGAGGACATGAGATTTGGGAGGGAACATGGGTGGAATGATATGGTTTGACTGTGCCCCTACCCAAATCTCAACTTGAATTGTATCTTCCAGAATTCCCATGTGTTGTTGGAGGGGCCCAGGGGGAGGTAATTGAACCATAGGGGGCCAGTCTTTCCCAAGCTATTCTCATGATAGTAAGTCTCACGAGATTGGATGGGTTTATCAGGGGTTTCTTTTGCTTCCTCCTCATTCTCTCTTGCTGCCGCCATGTAAGAAGTGCCTTTCGCCCTCTGCCATGATTGTTAGACTTTTCACAGCCATGTGGAACTGTAAGTCCAATGAAACCTCTTTCTTTTGTAAATTGCCCAGTCTTGGGTATGGCTTTATCAGCAGTGTGAAAACAGACTAATACAACTTTCCAGAATTGCACAGTGTAACAAGTCACTCCTGCTAAGGATGGTCAGCCACCTTCCTTTTCCAATCCTCAGTTCCTCTGCCGTCACATGGAGATGAGACTGCTGGCTTACAGAGTGACTGTGCAGACTGAATGAAAGCATGTGTGTCCAGCACTACCAGAGAATGAGGGCTGGCCCTGACTGTCACTGTCGGCACTTCCCACTGCGAATGCCCAGCCCTGGCCCAGCACAGAGTAGGGACCCTGGGAGAGGTGTCCACTGTACAGGGCTGAGCAGGGAGTCTAGTCCAGTGCCCTGGGAGCATCTGCAGGCAGTTACCTAGGTAACTCCTGCCTCTTTACTACCATTGCCTCAGTTCCGTATCTTCTGGCCACTTGGTGACAACTGCCCTATGCATGTGTACAGCCCTTCACAGTTTACAGTGAGGGCTAATCAACTTAGGTGAAGAGGGCAGGGTTGAAATTGCCACCCTGTATTGCAGAGGATGAGGCTGAGGCCTAAAAGGGGCAGCAAGAGGTCCCCTCTGGCGGGTCAGCATTTGGGCTGTATTTGAGCTGCTGGTTACATAAGTGGGAGCTCATAAGAGGCCGTTTGGCATTTCACAGACCCCTTGTATAATCACCTCTGGGAATCAAAGGGTAATCTCGGGGCCTTTGTGGTGTTTGTTTAAACCCCAGGAAGGGTGGGTATGAGCAGATCAGCTTAGCAGGGGAGGTGGGGCCTTTGGTGGTAATGAGCCCTGCGGTGAGGAACTCACCCAGGGGAACAAAGGGGGCCTGAAGCAACTTAATATTTTCCTTTTGGTTCCAGACATTGGAACACTCTGTCCTGCCTCAGCTGGGACCATGCCCAGGATGCACCTGGGCTGGATTTAATCCTCAAATTGGCCTCTACAAAAGAAAGGGGTGGAAGAGGAGGGGCCCACATGGGGAGGGGGGCAGGGGAGAAGAGCACCACTTTTCCCTGCCCCTGGGCAAAGCCAGAGTGCAGATCAAGTGGCTAGCCCTTTAAAGTTTCATGCAGGGCTGGTAATACAATCCTGCTGCTCCCTCCCTACCCACCCTCCATTCTGGAAGGTGGGCAGGTCCCTGGCCCATCTCCTCCCCCTCTCCCACCTGCTTCCTGAAGGCCAGAGAAAGGGATGGGCAGGAGGACAGGGCCACCCAGATGAAGAGCCCTGCTGGAAGGAAGCTTAGTGCCTTCTGTTTCCCAGGCTGCAGGCTGCCTTGCAGGGCAGGGGTCACCACAGACTATCCAATTGGTCCACTTAGACTCTCCCACTGCCCAACTCGTCCTCATGCTGGCACCACTGAGCACAACCATGCCAGGAGCTACAGTGGATGTGAACACAGCCTTTGAATCCAACAGCTGTGGGTGGCATGACCATTAGATGTGACAACATATATGTAGTTCCTGGCATCTGTGGCCGCCACCATTGTAATTGTACAGAGGGAAACAGATCTGGGGAGGGGAAGTGGCTAGTATGTGTCAGTGGGAAAAGCCCCTCTTGCCTCTCCACGAGCTACTTTTCCAGTCCCACTGGAGGCAACGCATGTGAATAGAGGAATTGGAGTGTGCCAGGCCTGGGTCCCATTCCTGCCCTGCATTTTACTAGTTTGGGGTAAAGCCCTTTTTCTCTCTGAGCCTCTGTTTCTTCATCTGCATGAGAGAAACAGCCTGCCTGCCTGCCTAAGGTTAATTGAAGCACCAGAGAGGTGTAGTAGCTTGATCTGGTATGGGCAAGGGGCAAGCTAAGGGGGAAAGGGGCTCGGGACAGGTGTCCCCAAAACCCATCTGGGAGTCTTAGATGCCCGGGTTGGATACCAGGGTGCCCAATGGGAAGGGAAGATCCTGCCTCTGGACAACAGGCTAGGGGGATGGGGCAGGTGGAGTAAGGGTGCAGGGGGGCAGTCATTGCAGGCCCCATTGCAGGGAGAGAGCCTTGGTCTTGAAGGGTGGAGTGTGGGTCTCAGGCCTGGCTCAGCCGTGGCCAGACCACAACAGTGGGTCATGCTTTCTCTGTCATTATCCCCTTGAGTGCCACTGCACTCAGCTGTGTGGCTATGCAAAAATATCTTAACCCAAGGCCCAGTCCCTCTTGGTAAAACAGAGAGAGAATTTTCTTCCTGGCAAGGTGGTTGTGAGGGTCAGATGCACCCGTGATGTGGGGGCAGCCAGAACAGCGGCTGATGTGTAACACTTGCTCAGCAGAGAATGGGGCACCCTGGGCACACCCTACCCTCAGCCCTGTGGATAAACCCCTCCCCCGGGGCTGGGTCTAAACCAACCCAGAGACTCTGGACTGTCAGAGCTGGAGAGGCCAGCCTGAAAAACCATCTAGACCAGTGGGTTTCATACTGGGTTCCTAACACCCTAGGCAGGGATAGTGGGCAGAAGTGGAGAGCTGTAGGTCCTCCTCACTTCAGCCAGACCAGGCCTGCCTTCATCTGCTGCTTCTAGTTGAAAATTCACCACCTGGCCTCACTCTCATTACCAGATGGAGAGGCAGAGGCCAGAGAGGCACAGGGACTACGAATTCTGGGGAGGAGTGTTCAGGAAGCATTCCAGGAGGTCAGGGACTGTGACACCTTCCAGCAGTGTCTAGACTGGGCTCATGTCCCGTAAGGTAGGTTTAGACTTTCTGGTGCATTCAGTCCTCACTTGTGGCTCTCTTTCTAGCCCCCACCATGCCGTGGCCCCTGCTGCTGCTGCTGCTGCTGCTGCTACTGGCCATGGGCAGGGCCCAGACAACACGGCCATGCTTCCCTGGGTGCCAGTGCGAGGTGGAGACCTTCGGCCTTTTTGACAGCTTCAGCCTGACTCGGGTGGATTGCAGCGGGCTGGGCCCCCACATCGTGCCGGTGCCCATTCCTCTGGATACAGCCCACCTGGACCTGTCCTCTAACCGGCTGGAGATGGTGAATGAGTCAGTGTTGGCGGGGCCGGGCTACACGACGCTGGCTGGCCTGGATCTCAGCCACAACCTGCTCACCAGCATCTCACCCACTGCCTTCTCCCGCCTTCGCTACCTGGAGTCACTGGACCTCAGTCACAATGGCCTGACGGCCCTGCCAGCCGAGAGCTTCACCAGTTCACCCCTGAGCGACGTGAACCTTAGCCACAACTGGCTCCAGGAGGTCTCAGTGTCCGCCTTCACGACCCACAGTCAGGGCCGGGCACTACATGTGGACCTCTCCCACAACCTCATTCACCGCCTCGTGCCCCACCCCAGGAGTGCTGGCCTGCCCATGCCTACCATTCAGAGCCTGAACCTGTCCTGGAACCGGCTCCATGCTGTGCCTGACCTCCGAGACTTGCCCCTGCGCTACCTGAGCCTGGATGGGAACCCTCTGGCTGTCCTTGGTCCGGGTGCCTTTGCAGGGCTGGCAGGCCTTACACACCTGTCTCTGGCCAGCCTGCAGGGGCTCCCCGAGCTGGCGCCCTATGGCTTCCGGGAGCTTCCGGGCCTGCAGGTCCTGGACCTGTCAGGCAACCCCAAGCTCAACTGGGCAGGAGCTGAGGTGTTCTCAGGCCTGGGCTCCCTGCAGGAGCTGGATCTTTCAGATACAAACCTGGTCCCCCTGCCCGAGGTGCTGCTCCTCCGCCTCCCGGCACTGCAGAGCATCAGTGTGAGCCAGGATGTGCGGTGCCGGCGCGTGGTGCGGGAGGGCGTCTACCCCCGGAGGCCTGGCTCCAGCCCCAAGGTGGCCCTGCATTGCGTAGACACCCGAGAATCTGCTGCCAAGGGCCCCAACATCTTGTGACGAATGGTGTGGCCCGGGGCCACATAACAGACTGCTGTCCTGGGCTGCCTCAGGTCCCGAGTAACTTATGTTCAACGTGCCGACACCAGTTGGGGAGCCCACAGGCCTATGTGGTGGCATCACTGCAGGAGTCATGGACCGAGGAGAGGCTTTGGACCTAGGACTCACACCCAGGAGCAAAGTCTCACCCCTTTGTCTACATTGCTCCCCCAAACCATGAGCAGAGGGACTTCAATGCCAAACCAGACTCTGGTCCCCTCCTGCTTCCCCCCACTTATCCCCCAAGTGCCTTCCCTCATGCCTGGGCCGGCCTGACCCTTGACAGGCAGAGGGTGGGTAAGACCCTTCACTGCAGGGCAGAGTACAGGTCCACTGGGCTGAGTGTCCCCCTGGGCTCATGGCCCGGTCACTCAGGGGCATGAGTTTCTTTTCTGACACAGTCCTTTCTTTGCCATGGGCCCCTCATGAGGCCCACTTCATCCTTTTCTATTTCCCTGGAACATTATGGTAGAAGAAATTGCAAAGAATCAAGTCCACCCTCCTCATGTGCCAGATGGGGAAACTGAGGCCTCGAGAAGGAAAAAGTCTAATCTGAGTTCCTGTGGGGCAGTGGCATGACTGGAGCCCAGCTTCCTTCCTCCCAGTCCCAGCCCATTGCACTTTCTTGTCTCCTCTAATAAGCCCTTCCATTCTCACCTGGGCTCCTCTTGCTGCCCTTTCCCTTTCCCCATTAGCCCAGGAGTAGCAGCAGCAGGACAGGCAAGAGCCCCACAAGTGGGACTCTGGGCCTGGCGACCAGCTGTGTGGCATGGGCTAAGTCACTCTCCTTTGGTGCCTCTGGTAGCTTAGGGCACATCGAATCCAGCCTAGCCAGTTTCTCACCCTGGATTGGGGTCCCCCAGCATCCAGACTGGAAACCTACCCATTTTCCCAAGTATCCTCAAGATGCTCCCCCAAGGAGCTGCTGCAGTTCCGGAGAGTACCTTGCCAGGAGCTTGGAGGGGCCTCCTGGATTCAGTCCCCACTGGTGAAAGCCCTTCTCACCCTCCCAGGAATGCCGTGAAAGGAGGCAGGGTCTCCCCGACCCATGTTCTCTACCCCCAGGGTAGCATCTCAGCTTTCCAGCCCTGGGCTCTTTGCTTAGTCTTCATTTTATAAAAGTTGTTGCCTTTTTAATGGACTGTCACTTTCAACCCACATCCCCCACCCCTGCTGGCAGGGGATGGAGACATGTCATTTGTAAAAGAAGAACAAGGTTGCATTTGTTCAATTTTGTAATATTGTCCTGGGCCTGTGTTGGTGGTGTTGGGGAAAGCTGGACATCAGTAGCCTCGTAGGCATCAGGGGCTGGCCCCACAGAGACCCCACAGGGCAGTGAGCTCTGTCTTCTCCCACCTGCCTAGCCCAGCATCTATCTGACTGGTCCTTGATTTAATAAACACTATAAAGAGTTCTTTGCTTCACTCAACTAGTGTCCACTGGCAATCCCTGGGCCAGGCTCTGGGACCACAAAGATGAATCAGGTTAGGCCCTGCCCTGGGCAGCTTGTTTTCCCTGAAAACTTTGATAATCTCAGGATCTGGGGAGTAAGGGGAGGTAAGGGAGGGAGTTCCTGCACCCTGCTCACCTCTCTCATCTCCCCCCTCCCTGTGCCACTGTTCCGGCCACCCCAACTCCAGCCATAGCCATAAGCTTGCCAGGCAGGCCCTTGTACCCCTGTTCTCTTGCTCAGGCGTTAGCATGGAGCCTTGTCCTGGCCCTCACCCCTGTCTCTCAGCCTCCTTCCCATCCAGTAGACCTAGTTGCTGCCCGACCTCAGAGGCTTCCCTGGGCCCTTCCCCGTCCCTCCTCTGAGCAGCAGCAGTGTTTTGTTCTTCCCTGACATTTCAGCTGCTATGTTTCCCCAGCTCCTGTCTGCACACTTCCACTGACAGATCACGCTTGCAGCTCATCTGGGTGGCACCACTGTCACCAAGTTCCTCCTTCTAACTGGCCAGTCCACAGGGAATGTCTGCTGTCGTCACCTACGACAGGCTTTTCCTGATACGTCCTCTGTGCCCAGAACATTCAGGCCATAGGCACTGGTGGGGAGCTTGCCCATCTTGTAATCAGGCCTCCCCAGGGAGAAGTGTCAACCTAGGCTGGCACCCAGCACTCAAGGTGGGAAAGAGCTGAGGGTGGCCCCGGGCGGTGTCGGGGAGAGGGAGGTCAGCACTTCCAGGTGGCCATCTTGCGCCACGCACTGTAACTCGGTTCTCTAGGAATGTTCGTTTCTTCTTCATACAGTCCTGGGGAGGGAGAGATTTTCTATCTTCTCTTTGATTCTTTTTCTTTCTTTCCTTTCTCCTTTTTTTTTTTTTCAGGGTCTAGCTCTGTCAGGCTGGAGGCTGGAGTGCAGTGGCACAATCTCGGCTCACTGCAGCCTCAACCTCCCAGCCCAAGCCATCTTCCCACCATAGCCTCCCGAGTACCTGGGACTAGAGGCACCACCATGCCCAGTTAATTTTTTAATTTTTAAATTATGTTGCCCAAGCTGCTCTTGGTCTTGAATTCCTGAGCTCAAGTGATCCTCCTGCCTCAGCCTCCCAAAGGGCTGGAATTACAGGCATGAACCATCGGGCGGGCATTGAGGGAGATATTTTCATCCCTATTTTCCAGGCTCAGAGAAGTAAAGTGAACTGGCCAAAATCACACAATTGGTTAGTGATGAACTCAAAATTTCAACCCTTTTCTGTGAATTCCAAAACGGATTCTTTGCACTAATTTTCGTGATTGCGTAAGACTCGAAGGTCCTCACCCGGGGCGTCAGGGTTCCTGGAGGGCGGAGTCCGGCAGGGCGAGGGTAGTCTCGCGGGCAGGGAGGGACTGGCCGCAGGAAGCAAACAGCGCAGCCCAATTTGGCCTCCAGCCGCCCTGGCCTGGCTCCAGGCTCCGCTGGGACCGGGGGTGTCTGGCTGTACGTGAGCACGAGGTGGCGCTGCGGGCCGGGAGCCTCCGCACGGCGAGCGAGGGGCCGCGCGGCCTCCTGGATCGCCGAGGTTGGCTGGGGTTTCCGCTCTCCTTCTGGCTGGCTGGAGGCCGGGGCTGCGGGTGCAGGTTCCCCACCGGGAAGGACGAGCCCAAACAGCTCGGTGGCATCCGCGCCTGTGCTTTCACTAGGCCTTCACCCTGCCCAGTTTTGCAGAGGAGGAAGCTGAGCTCGGGCGGAGGTGAGCTGCCCCAGAGTTGATTCCTGCAGAAGCTCCCTCTTTGCCTTCGCTGCCTTCCGCTCGCTTTGGCCCTGTCTTTAAGGCCTTTTGTTCCATGGCGCTCCCGCAAGGACTCCTTCCACAAGGGGCAAGCGGGGACTTAGGAAGACACTGACTCATTGGGTGAAAGTACCGTGAGCCCTGCCTGCATCTGAAGCCTCTCCAGTCCCAGGGAATGTGGAGAGGTGAGAACAAGCCGGACTGTGGGACCCGGGTCTCACCCTGACCTCCCTCTCCCCCACACTGCCCATAGGCTAATAGGACCATGCCCATCAATGTTGAGTGTTCCTTGTTGGCTAACGTTCACCAGGGTGCAAATGTCGGTTGATATCTAATGTTTATCATATGAATGACAGCTTCCACCAATGACCAATATTCCCAAAGGGAAAACGTCTGTTGGAGGTAATGTCCACTGTATATCAATGCCCAGTGTTCACTGGTAGCTAATTGTAATTATACTTGCTCTTTGCATCAGTACCCAGTATCAGTCCATAGCTCAGCTTCTAACGGCAGCAAACGTCTATCCAGTTAAGTCACATGCCCTGTGTTTATTCTTCTCTTTATTTATTTAAGTATTAGGGGTTCGTTCCACAAGGATTATTGTGTTTGTTGAGCTTGGAGGGAAATTCCTCCTGTGTTTATTCTTTAATTCTCGAAGATACTTATTATTTTCTTTTGCATATCCATTAAATAGTCAAAGTGCTTTGACTTGGAAATACAAACACATTTATGTTTCTTTTTTCTTTTCCCTCCCTCCCTCTTTCTTTCCTTCCTTTCTACCTTCCTTCTTTCTTCTTGTCTCATTCTGTCACCCAGGCTAGAATGCAGTGGCGTGATCATAGCTCACTGAGGCCAATCTCCCATGCACAAGCAAGCCTCCTGCCTCAGCCTCCCAATAGCTGAGACTACAGGCATGCATCACTGTGCTCAATTTTTTAATTTTTAGGAAACAGGGTCTCGTTTTGTTGCCCAGGTTGGTCTTGAGCTCCTGAGCTCAAGAAATCCTCTCACCTCAGCCTCTCAAAGTGTTGGGATTACATGAGTGCCCTGCCATGTTTCTTGATATATGCACATATGTATATGTAATATGTAAATAATTATATACGTGATACAGGAAGACACAGAAATAATTATATATATGATACAGGAAGACAGAAAAAGAGAAACTGGTCTAATACTGGAAGTATCAACTCAGGAACAATTTTCTAATTTGCTGAGCTAAAGAAACAGCAACTTTTTCAAAGCCAAGTGATGAATGGAAGTGCCAGCCCTCCTGCTCAGGCTAAGAAAGGCTAAGAGCCCTGCTTTTGGCTGAAAAAGGCCAGGTTCCCTAGTCAGGTGGGGGCCTGAGGCAGGGACTCTTTAGGGCAGTGTAACTAGTAACCAAGGCATAGGCTCCAAAGGGAGGCTGCCTGGGCTCAAGCCCGGTCCTGCCATTGGCAGCTGGGTGTCCCGGGGTTAGCTGCTCAGCCCCTCGTTCAGCCTCAGCTCCACATCTGTAAATGGAGGCCTAGTAGCTGCCTCACAGGGCAACTGTGGAAAATAAGCCAAGGCACCTACAACCCTTAGAGCCGTGCCCTGTGTGTGATAATGTTCGTAGACATCACACTGTTCCTTTTTCTTTTGAACATTCTTCTTTTAGTCAAACTCATAAGCCTTCTGTGGCTCAAAATATTCTCAAGCAGGGTTTCTTCAGTGGCCACCAGCTCCCAGAGGGTGATATCATGGAAGTTGTTATGCTTAGGAATTTGTTGAAAAAGACGTCCTGCCCTGTGCCCCAGTACATTTCCACACCGCCCAGCCACACAGCCACCGTCTGGCCCAACACTCTTAAAACACACAGTGCTTAGGAAATGTCCTCACCTCCCTTTCCTGAGGCAGGTTTGCCACAGTTTCCCCAGGCCCGGCAGTCACAGACCAGTCGCTGACCTGCTGTGATTTGAGAGGTGGAGAGAAAACCTTCCACTCTTCTTGCTCTCCTCATAGCCTCAGTCTCTGCTGCAATTCCACCATTTCCCTTTGGCTTAAGCGACCATCTTTGTCTGAAGCCCCTCCTAGATAGGCAGGGACTCAGGACACCAAGAGTGTGATCAGGGGGTGGAGATCAGGTGAGACGTCGGGGCTGGCTGCAGGAGTGGGGCATTTACTAACTAATGGGGTGTGGGGGCACCTGAGCATGCTCTCTAAATGTGTTGCACCCTAAAAAATGTTTTTAAGGTGGTGGGTAGATATAACAGTCGTTAAGCCCATGATGCTAGAGGCAAGATTGTGAGATCCCTAGAGAAGGCAGCTGAAGGGTAGGGCCTTTTATTCACATATATGCCGCCTTCTCCACCAACCGGCATGATACCTTTTGTATGCGAGGCTCCAGTGAATCCATGCCTCTGGGGATTTATGCCCTTGTATTTGTACTCCTCTTGAATCTGGGCTGGTCTGTGACTTTAATCAGTGCAATGCAGAAGTGGTTCAGTGCCAATTCTAAGACTACAAAGAGAAAGAAAAGTTCAACCTTCCAATAGCCCAGCAGATTTCAGGCCCCAGCTGCACCACCAGCTTCATGCTCATGAGTGCCCACAACACACCCAGCAGAACTAACCAGCCCATCCCAGCTTTGGTTGCAGAATCTTGAGTAAATAAAATGGCTGCTGTTCTAAGCCATCGTGCTTTGGAGCAATAGATGTCTGAAAGAAGCAAAGCCACAGCCTCCACCTCCCCAGCCCCACCCTCCTCTCCTCCCCACTTGCTAACCCCACTGGAGCCCTAGGACACGGGCAGCTGAAGATGCAGAAAAGATGCCAAATGAAAAAGCCACCCTCCTTGATAACAGCCTAGCTGAGGGGAGCAGGCAGAGGGGGGCAGGCGAAGGCAGCTTGCTGCCTGCTGTCTAAAAGCGCATGAGGGGCTGCCCTGGGCGCATCTCCTTACATTCTTGTCTCAAGACCACCCAGCAGGCGCAGCCCGTCCTGGTAACCTCGCACTCTCCTCCTGGACCTCTCCTCAGTCCCCCGACAGACCCACCTCCTTCTCTTAGACCCTCCATGAGTCCCTTCTCCCACCTGCCATTGGGATCAGGAAGAATAAAGACCTGAACTCACTGTTACGGTTTTTTGGTTTGTTTGAGACAGAGTTTCATTCTTGTTGCCCAGGCTGGAGTGCAGCGGATCTTAGCTCACTGTAACCTCTGTTTCCCTGGTTCAAGAGATTC